ACCTCATTAAACACATGCTACGAGTATGACAGTATAATACATTTAATTATATATAATTGTATATATATATATATATATATATATATAGTGTGTGTGTGTTGGGGGGTAAATTAAAATATTATCAATACACTGTCATTTTATGCATATGATTTTTATTGCACATTAGCCAAATATTTTATTTCCTAGTATCTGCATGATTTTGGTTTGTATTTAAGTAATTTAAAACACTAATACATCCATGTATTCAGTAACGAGAAGAAAATGCAAGGGTGTACCACATTTACAGTCAGAACTATTTTTTCAATATTTTAGTTCTCATTTTAATAAGCCAACATTTAATTCAAATTGCATGCAAGCACAAGGCATATGCTGTAGTATTAAAGCTGAGAGGCAATGCTAGGAGATAAATGTGAAGACAGGAGATTGTTACTCTAACATTTGGCCTAACACATGGCACATATTAGGCACCACTCAGTTGATTTCTTTCAAACACGCACTGTGATGACATAATTTTTTCTTGCAAAAGTTTGAAAATATATGATTTACATGTATGACTTAATATTCATTATTTCGCTTGCTTTTATGATATCTGTATAAAACTTGGCAGGATTAGAGAGTCATTGCCCTAATTTGAAGTGTGCAAAGAAGACTTTGAAAAGCGTGATCGTATGTCTAAGCAGAATGAGACTTGGCACTCAGAACAGTCTAACAAAGTTTGTCTTATTTTATCTTTCAGCTGAATCCTGTGGAGGTGTAGTCCAAGGCCTGAACGGCACCATAGAATCTCCTGGATTTCCCCACGGCTATCCCAACTATGCCAACTGTACGTGGCTGATAATAACGGGGGAGCGGAACCGAATCCAGCTAACCTTCGTTACACTGGCACTAGAGGAAGACTTCGATATTGTCTCAGTTTACGATGGACAGCCGTCACCTGGCAACTTAAAGATGAGGTTTGAAAACATTTTTAGTTGCTTGCTGTTCTATGGCTATATTTCTGTTTTGTGACTCCAACAGATTTTGACCTCTTGACTTTACTTTACCACTTTCTCCATCTTTACCTTTCTATGTACTGAAAAACTATTATAATTTATACATGAATTTACTTGTAAAATGTGACTGAAAAACTTTTCAAACGCAAATCATAACTGAATAATTATAAAAATAATATAAATATAATTTCAAAAGTTCAATTAACTGATTACAGTACTCCCTCATTTATTGTGGGGGATCCGTACCCTGAAGACCAGTGATAAGTGAAAAACCGTTAAGTAGGAATAGTAGTACATGTAGTAAATAGTAGTTTTAAATATATATATATA